AACACTAAAAAAAAAAAAAAGTGATCAGGCCAACTGTTTACTTATAATCCTTCAATTTACACATTTCTCTGAGCACACAAAGCCCTTCAAATCTCACCTCTACCTGTCCAGTCCTATTTCCCATACTCCTATTTGAACTTAATACCCCAACAAAACCTAACAATTTGCAGTTCTCTAAAAGTGTCTCTTTCAAGGCATCCTTCCTCACCTTTTCCTTTTGGATCTTTGCTATAATTCAAGACTCTGTTCAAACATAATTTCCTGCAGAACCATCCCTGTTCCTCTCTCCTCTGGATTTGGTGCTCACCCTAAGCTTACCTATTTTACAGCCTATATCACACTTTACCTTGTCAGATACTACCACCTTACTCCCTATAGATACATATGTTCTCTGAAAGCTCCCTGAAAGACAGTCCCTTAAAGGGACAGACTATCTTTCATAGCAGTAGCGCCAGTATCTAACATACATGAGGTTTTCAACTGTGTATGAAATGAATGAATACAATGAGAAATAACAATAGCTTAGGTTGTTTTTATTTAACTATGATAATTATTCCACACATTCTGCCAATTGTAATTCTCACAATAATTAAGAGTCTAGAAGAAAAGATACTTTTATTTGAGGGGTGCCTGAGTGGCTGAGTCGGTTGGGCATCCGACTTCAGCTCAGGTCATGATCTCACCACTCATGAATTCAAGCCCTGCATCAGGCTCTGTGCTGACAGCTCAGAGCCTGGAGCCTGCTTCAGATTGTGTCTCCCTCTCTCTCCGCTCCTCCCCTGCTCACGCTCTCTCTCTCTCTCTCAAAAATAAACATTAAAAAAAAATTTAAAAAAATAAGATACTGTTATTTGAAGTGAGAGATAAAGGGGCACCTGGGTGGCTTAGTTGGTTGGGCATCTGACATTGGCTCAGGCCATGATCTCACAGCATGAGTTCGGGCCTGGCGTTGGGCTCTGTGCTGACAGCTCGAAGCATGGAGCCTGCTTCAGATTCTGTGTCTCTTTCTCTCTCTGCCTCTCCCCACCTCACATTCTCTCTCTCTCTCTCTCAAAAATAAATAAACATCAAAAAAAATTTTTTTTGAAGTGAGAGAGAAGGAAACTGAAAAAGTTTCCCAAGGACACAGTGTTAGTATAACAATACTCTCAATATTTGAATCTAAGTCTTTTTACTCTAAATTCTGGCCTTTTCCCACCATATCACATGCACAGGAATTACTAGGCCAGGTTATAGAGAAAAAAAGCTTTGAAACTCAAGTGCAGAAATGTAGACATGAGCCTTTATAGGCTCAAGAGTAAACATGACAACAATCATGTTTCAGAACTGTTATATGAACCTTCCAAGGGATGAACTGAGAGGCAGCAAAGTCCTTGAAAACAGCTTTACAGCTTCAATAATGAGAATCAAGGGATAAATCCAACTTACTTTTTGAATAAAGAAGCCTACTGAGATTCAGTAATATAAGACATCTGGAGATGAAGCACAGGGGAAATCTAAGATGACTAAGGTTTTGTAATTTAGGCACCAAAGGGAATTAGTAATAAGACTGACAGAAAGGTGTGGGCTGATGTTAGAAAAAAAAGTGGTTAAGTTTATAGCAATCAGTCAAATTTATCAAAGTAAAACTAAGCTGATTATCATGATTATCCAGGAATTCAGAAATTTGATTAAGAGGTTCCAAGTCAGCTGCTAAAACTTCACATCAGCATTTACAGAATGTCAACATATTACATTTAGCTGGCATATAAAAGCAAACAGTGCATTTGTCTCTACATAGAAATTTGACCTGCAGATATTATTAAACATGACATGGCTGTTAGGCTTTTTTTTTTTGCTTTAGATTTCTTCCAGTCAGCAGATTTTGGACCCCAGTGGCTTAATTACAAGGTATCTTCCTCTGACCCCAACTTCAAGGCATCAAGCACTGCCACTGAGCTAAAATGCTGCCCCCTGCTACAAAAAAAAAAAAAAAAAAAAAAAAAAAAAAAAAAAAAAAAAAGGGGGTTCACTGAATACCCATCCACTCTGGTAGCCGACAGCAGAAATTCTAATATTACCATGCTTCTTAGTAACTGCTGATACTACCCCACTGCCAGTGAAGAACTTCATTCCAAACGGCAGCACACGCGTACTTCCAAAAGGAAAGCACATGAACTCCGGGAAACTGCATATGGAGGTAAAGGACGTACCTCAAGAAACCAAACCACGAAAGGCAGATAATTAGATGGAGATGCTCGGAAGTAAAGAAGACCTGTCTGGTGGCCTTGACTTCATTGCTGAGAGCATGAAGCTTAAGCTCCTTAAGCAAAGGGTGTCAGAAAAAGCAAGCGTCAAAAAAACGAGGCTCTTTGTGTGTTTGAATTGGGGACCTGGAGAGTCACAGCTACCGCGACACTACAAGCAGATAAACACTGGGCACTACCTAAATGGCGGGTAAGGCAACTGAGACTTGTCTGGGGCTAGCGGACAGGCTAGGGGCCTGAGGATTCCCCGGTGGGGGCGGGGAAAGGAGAGGCAGAAGCGGAGCGGACCAGACCTAACGAAAGGTGAGGGCGAAAACATTTCGATTATCAGAGGCACGCCTGAGCTGCATGAGGAACCGGTTCCAGAGGCTCCCCTCCTTAGGGGTCCCAAGAGCTGTGAGAGCCGAAGAGGACATTCCCAACCCTGTCATGGTCGCACCCGGACGCAGGCCGTTCTTACCCGCCTCTTCCCCTTCCCGCCGGCGCCTGCTCAGGCTCTGCGCGCGCAGTAGCTACCGGCGCCAGCGCCGGCGCGGAGAGGGCGGGGGGAAACAGCAGGGCCGAAGAGACAGAGGTGACTGGGAAGTGCGGTCAGCGCAGAGCTGGAGGCGAGGCCAGGCCCACTGGAGGGTGCCTCTCGCCGGGTCTGCGCGTGCGCAGTGTTTTTCTGCTCGCGAGTAGCGGCGGCTCCAGGGACAACGGGGCTCTGGCCTAGGGTGGGTGCTGGATTCCCCGCTGGCGAACTGCCCTGCTGCAAGCCCAAGCTCCTGCGTATTGGCGCTGGCCCTCTCGACAGTGCCATTTCACCTACTCTCCATCCTTGTGGCGTCCCACACGTACAGCAAACCTCAGTGTTAAGGAAGGACTGAGACAACCCTCCCTGCCCCCAACCCCCCACCCACACGCTGTGCTTCTCTTTTTTTTAATTGAGATGTAATTGATATATAACATCATATTAGTTTCATGTGTACAACATGATACGGTATTTCTATCTTCTCTTTATTCTTTACCATTCACTCAAATCATTTTCTAAGTTTGCCTCTTTGAGCCGGGCATTGTAGATGGATGCCTACTTTGAGGGGAGAACTCAAAACATCTAGTTCTTTTCACGGTTGAACCTCACAATATGTTACATTAGTGAAAGTCAATCTTCTCTTTTTTTTTTCTTTTTAGGATTTATTTATTTTTGAGAGCGCGCAAGCAGGGAGAGGGCAGAGAGAGAGGTAGACAGAAGATCTGAAGCGGGCTCTGTGCTGACAGCAGCAAGTACAATGTGGGGTTTGAACTCACGTAATCATGTCCTGAGCGGAAACCAAGAGTCGTCGCTCAACCGACTCAGCCACCCAGGTGACTCTGAAAGTCATTCTTAAAAGCCCCAGAAAACTTGTTCAGATCATGCCAATGTACTAAAGGCCCCAGGTAAGTTTGTGGCTGAGGTCAACTGTTTGCTGAGAGTCCTCCTGCTAACTTTTTTTCTGTTTTTACTGAGAAAAACTGAGAAAGAAAGGGAAAGGAGACATGAGCGTGAGCTTCATTTATT